GGGGGCGCACCCCTCAGACGGTTTTGATAAACACCTCAAGACTTTATCCTTTATCACCAACTGTAAGACTTCGCATCCTCCGCGTACGTGCCTTGGCTCCATTGTTAACGCGATGAGTGCTTAGTTAGAGAGGAGCGATTGTTCCAGTAGACCCAACAACGGAACAAGTCGAGTCTCTGAAGGGTGGTTTTGGTCGAGGCTAAGAGTAGAAAATCGAGCCATTGAAATCATAAGCATAATCATATATGTGGTGGATATTGGTTGCACTGCTTCAAGCCAAGCACTTCTCCTTTAAGTTCTTGGGTCAAGTTTCGAGTTTCGAAATAAGGAGAAATGGGCCGGCCAATCGATATTACTACTCGGCCACTGGGAGGAGGCAAGTCCGGTGTAAGCTGGCCGATGCGACCGGTAATACAAGTTATAGCAGCCCTCGCATGTCAGTATTTTTATCAATGAAATCACATTCCGACCATCCAACGACCAAGTTATCTGCGAAGAAGCCAGAACCTGATGATCTGAATCATGTGTTGCCGAATGAACACATAAGAGTAAGACACCATACCGGTAGTACAACAAAGATCCAGACGTCCCAAATGATGTCTAACCGAAAATATCATCGAAACAAATGTATCATCTGCACCTATCGCCCCGTTGATCATGGATTTCCTGAACGGGTACCAATGACGTCTCCATTCGTCCTAGTTGAAGTGGTCCAGTGGATCGCTCTCGCTCGAGGGCTCCTGAAGAGATCCGACCATCGCGTTGGCGGCCGTCCTGGTGTACGTTCGACGTTCCGAGAGATCCTTTTGGTAACCGCCATAGTCCAACGGTCACCAGGATGTCGCATAAAGTGTCCGGCCCACCTGGTCTTCCATTACTTGGCATAAGCAGCGAAGTTCCTGACCTTCGTTCTTGAACCAGCTCGGAACTTCGGATTTCCTTCCGTACTTGGCCCACACTCCTCTCCACAGTGGCTGAATGATGCTGACTGCATGCTCACTCTGAGCGTCCGAGTCTCCGAGGCATACGTCAATGCAGGAAGGTTAGCACTACTGAAGAAATGGAAATAACGTGGAATAGCGCGGAAGTGGATGCTTCTTGTCCTGAAAAGAAAATGGAACGAGGGTAGTGGTAGGGAACACGCCATNCCCCCTCTATAAAATAAAGGGGTAGTAGCAGAGTACACTTCGTTCTTTTGCGAACCATTGGAGTTTTGGGCGGTGAAAAAAGATTCAAAAATTATAATGAAACTGAACTGAAACCCTATTTGAAAAAGTGGTTTCAAGTGCAGTTGGTGCTCTTCAATTGGTTACGATGGGTAGGTGAGCAGAAACAATACAAAGGGTCTGATGAAGTATTGTCCATGCTTTTTACTTTCACATCACCACTGAACTCCATCGCTTCAAAAAAAACAACGATGAAACGTGACATCTACGATATTCAACTGCTATTCTATAGTACGTGGTCATAGTGCAAAGTGTCAATGCTAAGTGCCGTCAATTTCGATAGTGCCTGGCTCAATTGACACCGTGGTCATCTATTCAATCCTTTGGACGTTCAGCCAGGGACCAAGCTTACACCCGTTGCCCGAGTACCTTTTTTTGAGCCTGCTTTACGATGTTGCATAAAGAAGCCCCCTGTGGCAGTGGGTTTTGGAGATCTAATAGGGCTGCATCCATGGCTACAACGAAGGGTATAGGGAAAGTGCATTGTCCTTCGTGTACTACGACGGAAATGGGAAATTTCAAAGAGGTACCTGCGGCTATTTATACTCGATATGTAAGATTCCAGTGTAGTACGCTCACGCACTCATTTAGTTCTTCAAGAACGCAGGATTGCAGGTAATACCATGAAATTTCACTGAGCAGTCGAAAACAGTCCCTCTATCCAAAAAAAGGGTTTCTACTACGTTCCGTTCCTCACAGTGTGAAAGACCTCGTGGTGCTTCAACAGGAGGCGAACAGAAACGGTGGCCGGCTAACAGAGAGTTGAACGAGTTCCCGATTATCTACAATTCGTTCGAAAGTCTTCATAATGTGCGAAAGCAAGGAAATCGGGCGATCTCGTGCAGTTCCCGGGGCAGCTTATCTTCTTCCAGACAGGGATGATGGTATTCTTATTACCAACTCCCAGACACCTTTTCTGCCACGACTTGATTGAAGGATCACGTCCATGCTGCCCAATTCCAGCATCCTGATTCCCGCACGTCGGCTGCCAAATCATCTGGACAAGTTGCATTGCTAAACTCATTTTTTAGGCTATTATTATTTATATTATTTTTGAGCTATTGTTATTTATACTATTTACCAGTTGGGCTATGCACACTAACGCGTGCACCATGCCATGCCCATTACCGCTTACCTACGTCTTGTTAGAGGACCAATATAAACAGTATCAGTTGAATTCCCTTTTCATAACCGTTTCCCCATTAGGTGATACTCCCCAATTTGAACGATCTGATGCCGTTTTGTGGGTATTGATCACTTGAAACTAATAGGTGGTCAGTGAATTGTTTCCATTTTAACCTTCTCTAGTTCCTGGAGGTTTGATTGTCCTGAGGCGAGTTGTGATTTTTAATCTGTGATGCCATAAATAGACTGAATATCAATCAACGGACCAATATAAGAGCATCGGTTGACTTTCCATTTCATAACTGTTTTCTCACCACGCTCTTGTGATCTTCACGCCTTTGATCGTGCCTACGCGACTTTCGGGAGGACACACAAACGGGCATACAAACGGACACTATAGAGGATTTTTCGTATCGTTACCATTATCTTTACGGGACCGTCCAGTGGCACGGCCTGAAGTAGAAACCCATTTCGACCAGACAATGTCCCACGTGTTATTCCCGGGGACCACAGGTTAGTTCTAGCAAGAACTCTCAGAAAACATTTTTATTGTGAAATAAGCCTTTAACTCCGCAAGATTTAGAATTTCAATCAGGCTGTTTTGGGGAGGAGCCTTCCTGGGTCTGTAAGCTGCCGTCCTAGGGGAACATGCTGAAGTGAGTTTAATGGTATTTGGGAAATCTTCGAATCTTCTTTCTAATAGTCTTTCTCAAAGTCTCAGCAGTTCTCCAATAGTTAGTTATGTTCGTGTTGCTGGTTGCTGTTTATTGTTTCAGTGGTTGTTTATTTTTTTCATTCGTGTGCGATGCTTATGCAATAACAGTTCTGGATCAATTTCTCCATTAATGAAAAGCTCGATTTTGCGTTTTTCGCAAGATTTGGCTTCGTCTTTGAAGTACTGTAATGATGGGCACAATCTCGAAAAATTGTTGATGTTCCTACATAAGTTTACAATGCAAAATACCAACTATATTTGGCAGTAGCCATCTCATATTTATGATGAATTTTGAGGCAGTGATAGAAGTTCAATGAAGGGAAAACGTAGTTTTTTAGATTCGTGTTACTGCCTTTCTGGTAGATGATTCGCTCAAAATTCCTCTATGACGAGCTAATTCCGAAATGTCATGGAGATGTGGCAAAGGCAGCAGTTTTTCTCTGTGGAGTGACTGTGCAGGTCAAAACAAATTCACATAATCACAACAAGGAGCAGCTGTGCCATATTTGTGGGGTATAAATCGAATTCCAAAGCAAACACTGTAGTATTGACAGCGATTAGCATGGCCATACAGAGCCGACGATCTGTTTAGAACGTAAACGAGTTATTCTACTTTCCTCGGCATTCCAATGAGGAGTGGAATTCGTTGGCCAATCGTCTCGTTACTGCTACTAATCGCTTTTTTCGCTCTACTTTTCATTTTTCTCAGAGAAAGGTGTGTCACTAGCTTTTCTCTGGCATTTGGTTGATGTAATTGGACAGTAGCTTGGTATGGGTCAAGTTGATCTCGGAGGTGGTGTAGTGGCAAGTTGCGCGCTATTACACATGCATGGCCACGGGTTCGAATCCCGGATCCCATGTCTCGGGGTCGATTAATTGGTACCAAACTTGTCTGGAAGGATGCAAACGTCGATTTGTAGATCGCTTGGTACCGCAATTCATTGTATAGGCTACATAGGCATTCATAACGCCACTACGTTGCTGCACTTCTGCGTTGAAGTCGAGTGCGAGGCGCATTCCTCAAACGGGATTGTATGATCAGCCAAAAAAAGTTTCTCAATTTATCCTTTGTTGCATAGCATGACCTGACTTTTCTAAAATGTTTCTCAGTAATTTCCAGACCTTTTACTTTTCTCAGCTCTGCTGTTTAGGCAAGAACTTCTGTACGACAATGAAGCTTATGCGTTAGCGGTACATGCTATAGTAAGAAAACCGCATCAACGGTTGACACGACAGATTCTCAGCAACGACGAGCCTCTCATATTTGTTGGTGAGTCCTATAAAACAAGTCGAGCGTCGAGCCAACACATTCTATGCATTTTGCGAGATGAGCACATGCTACCTTGAAAGCACATTCCCTGTTGTACCTGCAGATTAAGTGTCCGCGTAGTCGGCAAATCCTTCTGTGAAGTTTCGATAAGTAAGAAAAAGCTTGGAAGTCTTGAAAAGCAGGGGAGGGTAGGCCTACCCATCTGTAAGAAGGACCAGGCAACTAATCGAGGTTGGGTGATCTTGCGCCTCAAAAACCTCAGCCTCGGAACTCCCACTACAGGAAAGAGCACAAAATTCAAGTCATCGGTCAAAGGGGATGACATTCACTGCTCACAATGCGTAGCCCTGTGACCTGCTCCTTACACGTGGAGACCCAGTGAAATCCTTTGAAAAAAAGAAAAAAATATGCAGCAAAGTTGGAGTTGAGCATTTGGAAAAAATATGCAGATTAATCTCCTACACATCAGGCGGAGTCCCACGATCAGGCACAACATTGATGCGAGTTATGTTGGATGCGCATCCAGATATCCGCTGGTGAGTTCATTGTTCTAATGTATTTTCGACACGTGTGGTTCAACCAATGACCGAGATCTATGCTTTGGCGCTTAAAAGTTGGATGAATCCTGCAACACTCTTCAGTCAACTGAAGGAAATCCTGATCAAAGAGTACCCTGGCTTTGCGAAAAAACAGGTTTGATTGAAATTGGGGTCCACTTGCGTGATTGAAGATTGAGTTTATACTTCGCGTCTCCCAATTGACGGATGTCGGTATAGATCGATATGGCGCAAGTCGGCTACTCCGTGTGCTAAATTCGACAATCCTAATTGTACCACACGCCTGAGAGAGTGCAGAAAAAGCTACAAAACGCCTACCCACACTCATATTCGACCTGAAACATCACCTAAGAACTTAGAGGAGCTTTTACGGAACAAAAACAGATAAGGAACAATAGAGCATCCAACCAAACCTCACACAATGCCCAATTATCGACATTTCCTTTGATACATATCCAAACTTATCATTTTTCTGTGTTAAAGACAATGCCTCAGAAGTATGGCACATACTTATAATGAATATTGTTCACGATAACGAGCCGATTTCTATAGCTACAGCACGATAAACTCTTTTAAGTGGCGAAGAGACGTCGGTCATTCCATATGTTCTCGGTATGAGACTACACTTTGAGAGCAAAGGTTGGATCATGGCATTGAATGGTAGTGGAATCTCACAGAAAGCTCTTGATGATGCCACTTCGGCGTTCTTGTTAGAGGTAATGTTTAGTTCCACTATAACAGTCCTGATGTTTCCTCTTCATATCATTTTTATTGAAAGCTCACTTATAATAATTCTGAGGTAGAACGTTCCAGGTGAATAAGGTAGGCGGGTAGGCGGTAGTAAGAATAGGGCAAAAACGGCAAAAAAAAACGCGGAAATCGGCGTTTTCAGATGTGTTTTTACCTATTGATAATTTTTTAAATTTATTTTATATTTGTTATTTTATTTTGATTTTGATTTACTATACTATTTCTAACTTTTTCCCTAAAGCTCTTTATTTCTCTGAATACGTATATTTTCGCGTTTTCTTCCCCCCTTTTGCACTGCCCTATTCTGAAATATTGCTTCTATTATCCGTCCTAAACTGGATACTCCAAGATTATCGAGTATTGTCTTTCCAAAGGGATTAGACGCCTATCCAAACTTGGTTTTTACTGCTCTGAGCACATTATTACAACTGATAAAAAGCCATCTTCACTCCCGGTATATCGGTTATTACTGAATATTAACTATGACGAACCAATATCATAACAAGGAACAGCTACACCGAACAAATGAATGGTTTTTTCGCAGGTAATACGTGAACATGGTTCAATGGCAAAACGTCTGTGCAACAAAGATCCATTCACAGCGTTTCATCTACCGACTTTGATTCGAATGTTTCCCAACGCCAAGCATATCCTGATGATTCGTGACGCCCGTGCTACAATTCATTCAATGATCGAAAGGAATGTGCCTGTGTCTGGATTCAATCACAGCAATCCGGAGGTTTGACTCAGCTGAAAATTTTTTAGTAAAAAAGCAGAGGCCCTCAAATGTACTACTGGAGGGAGTCAGACTTGAGTTTACTTCTGGGTAGAGTTCACAATCTCCATTTTTGACCTTGAGCATTTTAAAAGTTATTTTCGAAGAGAATTCATCTTACGCATTGACCGTTCATGAGGAATACCTCAACGAAAACGCTATCCAGGATGTTATATGCTCGTCTATCCTGTTGTACTTGTCCATTCATCCCAGTTAGGTTGAATAGAAAGTTAGTACAGTAGAGTCAGTTCAGCTTCCCAAGTGGGAGGTATATTCACTGCTCTAAATTTAGACAGTGCGCCCTCGGATTGACGCTGGGAGGGTCGACCGCACCTGGTGATTCTTCCTTCTCGAACATCTGATGTCACCATTCTTTTTTCTTAGCCCCTTTTTGATTGCGCCTCTCTCCAGTTTACTGTAATGCACGTCATCGGCGAACAGTTCGCTTATTCGTTTCAGCTTGCCAACACATTAGCTCAACCTCCTAAGTTCAGACTCTTATAGGACGTTCCGAGGTAGTTTGGGGGAGCATGCTCTCTCTAAAAGCGCAGGGTGGAATCGGCACTCGAAGTCCGCATGGAATGTATATTCCTTGGAGGATGATGACCATGATGCTATCTGATATTTGTTCAATTATTTTTTTTACTCACTGTCACTAACTGAACACTTGTCAATAATAAAAAACCGTGGGACATTCGTGGTCGAGAACACATCGATTCTTGTGGCATGACTGATTTTCAGTCTAGGCATGTTTGCTTGCATTAAAGTATTGACGCAGCTGCTCTGTATGGAAAATGCTCCTGTCCATTGACCGGGTGAAGGGAAAGTGGTCTAGGTACTTGAGAAATGTTCTAACCTTGCAAATGGCGCAGGGTTATCCTGTTCCATGGCAGTTTTCTAGAAGTACTACAACCGTAACAAAAGCTCGTTAGCATAAAAATTTTCGACCCTAAGTTCTCAGAATTTCTTCGGCTTCGGCTGGCGAAATCATTACATCCACTGCTCCTTTTCTGTTATATTAACCGGTAGCAGTTGATATGAGGGTCCACATTTAACGGCAGAGATATGTGCAAGCAATCGTGGGGCCTGTACGGCAAGGATAACACACGCCAACGCAGCTGGCAGGGGATCAAGCTGAGCAGTTCTTCCATTGTCTCAAGTAGTAATCACACCTTGTACGGAAAATACAATAGGATCTTCTACACATTCATCCAATGGTGCTATGGTATGATGTCTAGGACGTGGTGAAGTGGCAAGTGATGCAATACCACACACACGTGATCCCGGGATCGATATCCGCCTTGGCCACTCAAGCCTTCCATGACACAGGGCCGCTTACCGTGTACCGAACTAGTCTGAGAGGATAATAGCATTGGCTTGTACATTGACTGTTTACTTGAATTTACAGAATGGACTACATATCGAAGCATTACCTCACTACGGTTCTGAATGGGAATCGAATGCGAGAGCGCATCTTCAGGCGGAATTGATTAATTGTGAAGATATTCATCTTTTGTAGTATACTGTCTATTGGGTATAATGGCAAAATACCAGGTGTAGCCGTTTCCTCGTCCATTGTTCAGGCCAACTAACGAATCCCCCAGGCCAACTGAACCGTTATCACACAAAATCCTCTGATCAGCAGAGGACCCATGTGAAGTTGAATATACAGTTTTGTATATCGTCTAACATTGGAAATTCATCATATATTATTCACCTGTTCATAGCACTTCAGCGATTTTCAGAGCATGTTCAGAGCATGGAATAATTTAATTTCTCGAATGGTGAATACATGTTCGGGCGCAAAAGGATTGTGTCTCAAGGTTCGTCCACATCTATTCACTTACCATTCACAAAGCCAACTGTACAATCAGTTAATCCATGCACTTTTTCCTGTAGGGTTTCCTCTATGTAGAACAAAATGCATGCATAAACACAATGACTTGTGTGATCGGCACTGCTCCAGCCAGATGCTGTTTTTCCTAGGAGAGTTATCCTCGAGGCGACAGGTTAGAAGGCCTCACGCTTTGGTGCTAACTGTCTAAGGAGAAAACACTGACTTGTAGAGCTGAGCGGATTTCGAGCCTAAACATATTCCCTGAACCGCAGCAGTAACAGCAGCGCCGCCTCTGATTCATTGAATCCATCTTATAGGTATACTATGAACGACTTGTACAACGACCATCTGATGAAGCTCGCAGAATTCTACACTTCCTCGATGTGCCCTGGTCTGATGATGTGCTGAGTCATCAGGACAAAATAGGCGACGAAATTCATCTGAATCCGTAAGTAACATCTGAAAAACATTCCATTTGTGCATGACTACACTTACAGAAAAGAATTCTCGACATCACAAGTGAAGGAAAAGGTTAACGAAAAAGCCTTAACGACTTGGTTTGGCTGCTATCCCGAAGACTTGCTGGATAAGATTGATCGGCTCGCTCCGATGCTTCGGAAATTGGGTGAGTCTGATACTGAAATCAAGCGCCACAGTGATCATTTGAGAATTCCCTGAAGGCTTGATTAGCTTAGGCAGATACCGTTCCTGGAAGCGAACCCGAGTCCATGCGTGTGTGATAGTGCGCCATCAGCCACTACACCCATCTCCTGATCATATTATATAAACCATCTATGATAAATAACAAAATAATTAAAATGCAACATCACATCGAAACTCTTCAGGCTACGACACGTCGACGGATCGACCTGACTACTCTGCATTTGGGAGAGACGACTTTTACGAATACGGCTACAGACTATGACCACACCCATGCGTAGTGCCAATTGCTCTTGATGGCTCTTTAAATGGATTGCTCTATTTATTTTCGGTTAGGAACCAAAGGAATGATTGTATGAAATGATGTCAATGTTGAAATCGGCCTTGCTTAAGCAGTCCGTCGTTATACTTAATTTTGTTCTACTTCCGTCTACTGTTTCAAAATAAAGGAACAACTGCAAATAATCAATAGAGAGCACACAAATAAATGTTACATTTCTAGGCTACACTTTGACTTTAAAAACAGCTTTGAAGATGTTTCACCCGATTTCACCTGAAGTCATGTGCCTTCTTCTTCATTTTTGACGAAAAAGTGTTTTTATCCTGCGAACTGAACCGTTTATACTACGAATGCACTCATTCGACAGCAGTTTTTGCCATTTGCATGCTACTACGGCGATGACATCTCGTCCAAATAAACTTTACTCGTCGCTTCTGTCGTAATCCTTTCAACCGTCATTTTTACAACTTTTTTTTACGTTATGTAACATAAAATCCGCCAATTTTCGCGCTTCTTCGAAACCTTTGCACAGTAACTTCTACCACTTCACTTAAAGGCGCAGTTCACGGCAAAAGTATAGTTTCTGAGATACTCCCTAGAATGATCCTGTGACCCACATGGATTGCAAAGGGACGCTGTCGAAACGGCTTGGATAGGGCGTAATAAGAGCACAAAACCGTCTTCGCCGACCTACACACCCAAGGCGGACCAGTTGTCAAGGTGCGCACTTTGCCCGCTAGTAGCTTACTATAGACAATGGCACAATAATTCGAACAACTCGTCCAATTACCCCTTCTTTGCAACATTTTCCGTAACATTCTCGCGCAACCCCCAATTTTCGTCCCTCATAGAACTTCGTATTTGCTTCGCCAATTTCGCACTATTCTGAATTACTACTTCCATAATTCATCGAACCCCAGGTACCCCAAAACTATCTTCGACTGCACATTTAGTCTAGATAACTCAAAATTATAATGAACTGTACTTTTAATGGTCTACGAACTATTTGAACTCGAACAAGCGAGGAAAGCAGACCATTTTAAAAAAGTTTTTGCTGAAACTATCTTTTATGCTTAGTGGGTAGATAATTGCAAATCATAACAAACCGTCAGGGGCGGAGCACAGTTGAGCACTTTGCTCCACCCCTGACGAGTTTCTCGCAGCTGCATCGGAGCGCGCTATCTAAGGCCTGCTCGTGAAGGATCCCCCGCGTGCTGGTGTTGATTTTGCCAGCTAATTTTGTTGTTGTTAGATGTCTTTTCTCAAGTGAATTCTCAGGACATTGAAGATATTGAAAAGCAGTCTTAGGGGATCCAATGGAAATGGCGACGGAGCGGTAAGCACTGTTTTCCAAGGAATTTACTATTTGCGGGGAAAATTCTTCTTTGTTTTGAAGCTAATGTGGAATGACTTTTGTGCAACCATGCTGAAGGAAAGAACGCTTGTCAAGCTTCTTTAACTGTCAAAAATCGGCGCAACGGGATAGTTTATAGTAGCAATTCCTTTTAATTTTAGGGGATTGCTGAAGTGTTTGCTGTGCGATACGAGTAGTCCCTCAAAATATCATTTGGTTCAACACCTCTATCAACATCTGTCTTATCGGTTGGTTTTTTCGTTTTTCTATAACCTTAACTTTACAAAAATTGGTTTTCCTGTATTAAAACACGGGGCAATCCATCAACTCCTATATGAATCCTTTCATTTCCCAGTAATAATTATGGCCGTTTTAAGGGTTGCAGTGTTTTGTTTCAAAGCCTGCATTCCGAGGACATTCTTTTAGGTTCTTTTTCAGAAAATATCAGTGCACTTCTTGCCCTGAACTTTTCTATACTGAAGAGGAACGAGAAGCTCATTGTAACAAAAAAGGACACATCCATACTTATGAGGTTTATACCTTAATTCGCATTTTCCCTTTCATGAGCTGATTCCGTTTTGTTTCCAGATGAAAGTATCACCTTACTGTGAGCTCTACGTTAATCAACTTTTGAAAGATGTTGAATATGTAGCTTTCCATGGATTTGACACCGTTATCATGCAGCGAAGCAAAGCAAATTTGGCATGGTGAGATTTACGGTCATGTTTTACTAATTGTCGTTCATGACCGAGCGATTCTTTCTGTTGCCAGCTCTTCTGAATTTGATGTGCGCGTAACCACGTAAGGACAGTAAAAGGAAAACGAAGAGCGCTTTCAGCACGAAATGTTTTATCTTGAAAATGACTTGAAAACTAACATAAAAATAAGTTGTGGCAGATAAACAGCGAGGACAATTACCAAATGTGCCTTCATTTGAAAAGAATTATCTGCAAGCATGAGTGCTGGGACATTATTTTCTTCACTCTGCTAGCTAAGACTCACAAGGGAGCGATCCTGGTTCAAAATGGTCATTTGAAATGCGACTCACGCAGGCAGACGTATGTTTCATTGCTGATTTAGAATCTGCCATCAAAAATACGGTTCGAATTACCGAAACGATTTTTTGAATGGAAACGAACGTGGCTTTAAGTGGGTGCTAGGCATAAACGAATACTAAAGACATGCGCGTAAGTTCACTCCCATGTTACTTCCCAATGCCAAGCTGTCCGAAAATGCCATATGGATTTATGAATTTACATAGAAACTAGAGGAGTTTAGTGTGGGAGGTGCTCCAATGAGCTGTCTTTGTTAGGGGCTGATGTAAGCTTCGATTCATTGTCCGTATATATCGGTTCGGGTTGACCAATGCTTTGACTGCGTATGCTTTCCGTTCCCCAACGTCTTGAGACTTCCATATTTCAGTGATGCTGCGATGAACAAGCTGCGCAAAAATCAGTACGGTGTGAAACGCTCTACTGATAGTCCTCCTAAACAAGAACACTTGTTGTCAAGGTGAGATATATGTTTTTGTTTTGCAAATGCGGTTTATGCTGTTATTGAAATGCAACTCTAGTTGAAGTAGATATGTAGTTTTTAAGTAATCTTTTCTTCAGCAGTAGATCTCTGGATGATTTATCAAGAACACCTCTCGATAACAAATGTAACGCTATCGCATCAAATAGCCAGGGTCGATCATCTTTGAGGTTGTTTCGTCAACTCCCTTTTTTAATTCGCCGTGTCATTTTTTAACTTCTCGTTTAAGCAATTCGCGGCCGTCGCCGAAATCAAGGACACTGAAAGCAATGGGTGAAAATAATGGTGAGTGTATAGAAGCTTCCATATATCCAAAGGTTCTTGTGATCCTTTCTACTTTCTGCTGGACGGTTTTCATCGGTGTAGAGACTTTTTGCTGTAACCCAGTGAATCTGTTTACCTTAGGCGTAGAATCGTCAACAAAATCGTTGAAGTCTATCAAGAGGAGTACAAACTGGGAAAATAAGCCAGCCGATGACTGGACTAGGATCGAAATGGTTAGTTCTTCATATTGCTCCTTTTAATGTCCCTAATGAATTGATTATAACATAGTGTGCGAACGTTCTGGCCATCATTGCCCTCTCTCTCCTTTTAGGACAATTGCCCAGCGATTTCTAGTGCAACACAGCTCCTGTGCGAAACCTTGCGAACTACACCAAGTGAAGTAAGGTGCACTATCTGTAAAACAATGACGTCGTCCGATTACGGTAAATTTAAGAGGCCTATTACGTCTCAGAATCGTTGATAAAGCATTATTATATGGGCTCAAAAGAGAAGCTCGAAGTTTTATCCGTTTCAAGTCAATTGTGAAGTAACCGTTACAGATATATTCCAGAAGCTTGATTTCACGGCTTTTTTACCTTCAAAAGTTCAAGAAAATATTGTATGTTAGGTTCTGAAGTGGCGCTTCCCACTGAAATATGTTCGTACTGGTAGGTCATCCCAGATTGCTGACTCACTGGCATGTTAGCTAAGCACTATATTTTCTATATACCAGTAGGCGAATCGAGGAATGAAGTTTCAAATAGACCTAAAAATGAAAAACGGAAGATAATGGTGTTGGCCTAAGGAGATTGCGTCAAGCGAGGAAGGCGTAGTTGTCGGTAGCGTGGAGTCTCCCGTGAAGGAAGCAGTGGAAATCTAGAACGGGACATTTTAGTCCACAATGAAAGATGATTGTCTCCGCTCTAGGGCCCCCTTTTGTGCGCACCGGGTCATGCTGCGCGTTTGGGCAACATCCCTGATACTGTTGCTCATACCACACCCATTCAATGTTAATAGTATTTGAACTATTTCAGTCATCCGCAAAGAACATGTGTCATCCAATCACGTGCGAAAAGATCATACCGAATCTGACTATGTGGAAATTCTGAGCGATATGGTGGGAAATTATGATTTTCTCAGTGTTCGTATCGCAAAGTTTGTTTCTGAGAAGACGTATTGTCCAATTTAGATGAAGAAGGCCTATCCTACAATGACTTACAACGATTTGCAATGTCAGATTGGAGGGTGTCAAAAAGAGTATAGGGGCTTGTCTTCCAGGTAGTTTTTTCAGATGAGCTCGTTCGTCACTAAATTGAGGTTTTCCGAGCAAGCAGATTTGTTTTCAGACGAAGTCATGTCTTACGAATTCATTTCAAAAATGAGTTATCTTGTCCGTTGAATTGCTCATACCGATCGAATGACTTCTCACTGCTGAATTCGCACTTGAAGGTATGCTGTTGTCAAGATATTGTTGATTGCGTAAAAACTGAGAAAAAGGATTTTGTGATGAGATGGAATAGTCAATGAATAGTTCTCGCCTTTATTTAAGGAGGATCATGGTCTTCCTAATGGTCATATGTCGATTGACAGCCACCACGTCCGAGAGCAGTTTAACGCTGAACGATCGAAGCATAACTTCTTATTGAACAGTCTGGTGTTGCGAGCATTTCCTTGTCCTATTCCGGATTGCTACAAGTCAAACTTCAAGGTGGCTTTTTCAAATTATGTGAGAGCCCATCGAGGTAATGTGTCACATTGCGACATTTGACTGTAACGTAGCAGTTGAGGGAAGGAGAGAAAGGTTCGTCAAGGAAACTGTGAATAGGAAGTGTCGACTGGCTATTAAGGATTCAAATGTACTCTTCCGTAGGAGAACGGATCTATTTCATTCTTTATTTCTAGAGCCAAAGTTCCGTGGACATTTCTCCAGGGGACCCGTCTGGGTGCAACGTGATCTCGAACATCCGTGAAAAAAGTAGGAAATTCCAGGTTAGTTTTCTATAAAAAAAAGGGCTTGTTCCTCTTGAACATTTCTTGAATCATGCTCTTTTTTTTTCTTTTTCACTTGAGTATCGCACGGAAACTAGAGCGATGCCCAGGGGAGAAAAATGATCTTCGCCTCCGATCTACTCCTTATGTGTGTCACATATTCCGTTTCGATTTGGGAACAATGTTGAGTTAAAATTTGAGTCATAATTTGTGCGTGCAAAACGTTGTTCAGAAGAATAAACGCCCTTTTTCCGAAAAGGATGCACTGAGCGGATAAGAAATATTCTTTTCACATTTCAGGGGAACCGTTTTGATAAGGCATTTCGGTAGAGATGAGCATGTAGCGCCATTCTTTCTGAACTCTTCCTCTTCATTATCCAAGTTCACTTTTCGACATGGGTGACCTTGCGGCGTTGAGACAAAAAACCGCCTTCTTCTTCGAAACTCTGAGATTTCTGAATATTTTCCATTTCTGCCTTCTGAATCGATTGCCCTTCAGGATGCTCCTCCCAATCCGCTACGTCTGCGCTCTCCCAGTTCTGACTCGGATTCGTCTTCAGACAGGAATGAAGTATGTTTCACTATACCAATTTTGTTACTGGACCCTAACGCTTGCGTGATTTTGATCAATAGCCGGTAACATCGACTTGGCTCTGGGCCACTTTTCCTCATCAAAAGCTGGTTATTCCAATCAATGTCAATCGAATACACTTATGTAACATATGATTCTTCCTTTTCACTCTTTATCAAACTCCTGACTTTGACTGAATCACCTTTTTTACCCCATGCACCTTGGCCATTTTCTCCCGTGCCTTCCAATTTCTCATTTCTCAAGTCTCCTTAAACTTACGTCATCCCCTGTATTCTTTCGCAAGACTCTATCGACTACATCTCAACAGCCGAACTGTGTGGAAGAATTTGCTATGCATTTTTTATTTTTTACATCCTACTTTGCTACACATTCCTTTGGTGAAAGAGAGATGGTGAGTTGATCTGAAAACGGATACGTCAGTATTAAAGGACGAGAGGTTGTTGAGCTCTCTAGTGAATATAATTCTGATATGTGAATGTATTCGGAAAATTCTAGAAATGATTCCAGAAACATATTTAATTGAAGAATTTCTCGCTTGATAGCAAAGCTTATATTCTGCTGAAATTACTTAATTCAGTGTACCAAAAGCTTTCTGTTTAGGATTCTGAAGGCATGAATGAAGTAAACGATACTCCCGCAAAAACCGCCAAAGTATTATCGCCTGCAAAAACGAAGGGGAATCAGCGCGGAATACTTCCTCAACAAATGCCACCCACTACTAGCAGTAGTAGCAATGATGAACAGGCTTACGAAAACAGCTCAGCAACGGCTTCAAAGGTGAATCTTTTGTTCGCTAAGTTACACATTTTATAGTTTCTACTGATTATAAGCTTGGAATGTTTCCAGGATAAGAATGCCTCTGATAAGAACGCTTCGAAACAATCTGCTACCCATCTACGAACTGAAACCAAGACCGTAACTAACCAAAGAAGGGTGTGTCAAATTAACTCCCCTATCTTTATTAACGCTGCTATAAAAGTAACTAAATGAGTGCCTTCGAATGCTGATCTCGAGAAGATTAGTGACTGTTTTTTGAGGTTTCTTCATCGTCATCTTCATCGTCATCATCAACGAGCAGCTTGAGTCCTATTAGGAGTTCTAAAAAACCTCCACCAAGTACTCTTTCAACCAGCGGCCACGGACGAGATAATCGAGAAGGGAAGGAGCGACCAAGGAGCAATCAAAGTCATGGTGCTAATAACGGATCAAGTAGCTCTGATTCTGAAAGTTCTACGAGCGACGATGATGTAACGGTGGGTAATGTGGCCACACCTTTTCAGTTTTAGAATTACTTGTTTTTGTTAGGTGGTATTAGACTCCAGCTGGCGCACCCAGAGGCAACTACATAGTGTGAATCGGCAGTCAGCATACGACTTCTTACGCTTCTCCCCTCCCCCCCCCCCCCCCCCCCCCCCCCTTCTTTTAATTCATACATTTTGATGGTATGCGGTTTGAACGGGGTGCGGTTTTTCATCTGCAGATTTTAGGTGAAGTATTAATTTCGACATGCCTTCGGCTGACATTAGTTACATGACGACATACACCGTATATAAGCCTGGTATACGGTACACTGTAGTCCCACTAGGCTGATTCTGTTGGCCTGAAAGGCTTCGAAGAAGGCGATAGAGGCTTAACCTTAGCCAACGAAGTTGTTTCCAACCGCGTGAATTGTTAAGTTAGGTAAAATTGTATTCAAATTATACTCGATCGTCCCCTGCCCTATGATCGCACAGCGTAACCTTTCACAATACAGTTGGAGATAGTTCGATTACCAATTGCATTTAGTCGAGGAGCTCCAAAGGATCACACTCAGACCCCAAATTCGAATGAAAGCATTTGTTCTCTCTGTTATTGATGGTGAGCGTTGAATCATTGAGGTGGTGAAAACAGTAAAGAGTCCTTCAACTCGTACTTCGCTCGCAAGAACAAGTAGCATGCCAGTTCTTGGCGAAGTCGTCTTGGATTATGATGACGACAAAGAGGATGACGACATCGCCCATGTAACATCTAAAGAAGGGAAGAAGACACCTGAGAAGAAACCACTGTACAGGTACGATTTCAGTTAAGAAAATCGAAACATTTGTTTGATCTTCTCATAAGCGTATGTACTCAGATACTGGAGATGCCTTTAAGGGCGTAATCGCTTGCCTACTTTTGATTATCCTTCCCACTTTAATGGCATCACCCCTCTGCGCAAAAGCACTTGTTCTTTTTCATGTGTTTGTATGATCGGCTACTTTCGTCGCCTGCTATTTGATCACATTCATCTATATGCATGTATTGCCGTTTTATATGAGAACTAATTTTGGTATTCTCTTATTAAAGTGTTGAAATAACTGTGAGTAACGTTTTCAGAAGATTGGCAATATCTGGTGTATCAGTTCCTATTGAAAAAACCCCACTGTCGTCATTCGGAAAGGCGTGAGTTATTTAGCACCTTTTCATCAAGAAAAACATGCACAACACCATTATTTTACGTTCCTTCGATGAGAAATTTTTCACTTTTTTTTATAGATTCTGCAATAGTGAGGGACGTTCCACAGCTTACTCAACGGTAGGTTCTTTCTCAATGATATATAGTGTAGTACTCGTGGTTTTTTTGTTTGATTCAATATTTTCTGTGTCAAATAAGGCAATGCAACCTTGGATAGTGAAGTTTCTTCATTGACGAACCTCTTATCAGAGTGCGCAGTGCGTTAGTTCACCCCACCCTCGTAGTATTGCGCGTGTGCATGTTCAGTTAATAAAATGGCTAGCAAAAGATAGACTTATTTCTTCAGAGCAGTCTAGAGGGAACCTGGTTCCACTCTATTGCTCTTCACTGGCTTCCTTTATTACTTCGACCTTTACCCAATGATGTAACTCCTTTAAATGTTTTCTCTCGAATGAGGTTTATTTTGGAGGGTTGATAGGTACAGCAAAATTGCTTCACCTGCTTTTGTTTGTCATTTTTGATATTTTCGTTCAGGACGATAGAGCACAAATGGAAAAGGGGCGAAGAGCAGCCCGTAAGATGTTTAATCTGGCAGAACTTCATCGTGCGAAGCGAATGGCACTTAAGAAAAAACGGTTTGTTTTCTTTGTCTTTATCACTTTTTCTTTGTACTATTTCATTTTATCCAATTCTTCCTCGAATTTTAAAATCGTAACCCCAATTATTATAGTGGTTCCAATATGAATAATGAAGTCAGTGAGTATGTAGAAGCAGAGACCACTAAAAAAGGCTCCAAAAAGCGGAAAAAGGTGAGTGAAAGTTTATTATGTGTCTATATTTTCTCTCGCTCGTATGATACTGCTCTTCCATTCATTAATGAGGAGCCTAGCAAACTTTATGATTCTAGAGCATATTTTCTCGACGTGAAGTTCTTGAGACTAATATTCAGGCAGCATCGCAAAACTGTTCTTCGAAGCGTTCTGCATCCACCGACTCCAAGGAACCAAGTTACGTCGTCAAGAAGGTATTTCATACCTTATATATTCTACTTATGCTTCTTTTTAAAAACTAGTGGATCAAAATTAGGGAGTGTATTTCACACAAAGTACATTTCACGTAAAGAACGGGAATTCAGGTCAAGAGAGAATCTTCCGTCCCGAGAGAAAACGTATATCACTCAACTCCGCGAAAAGGTGCTTCCAAGCGGTTCGCCTAGTAAAAAAATATCGATCGATCGTTTGATCCTTTTGGCATGGCATTTCAAAGCACAATACTCTTGGAGGTTTTCTCGTTTCTGGCTCTTTTCTTCATACTTCATTATTTTGTGAAGTTTTCATTCATGCCTTCTGCTGTTGTAATTCTAGAAACTCTTAAGGGTTCGTGAAGGGTTTGTATGTTGTTGTGTTGTTTCTTTTGTTGTTGTTTCCTTAACGATGATGCATGGCAAAAGTCTCATCATCACCTGCAATTGGTGTTGTTGTACCTGAAATGCACTCGTAAGTAGTGATTGTACAGCTAGATATAGATTACTATGCTGAAGAGTTTGTTTACACTAACAAATGTTTAAGACGCCTATGAGTTTGTTTCAAGTTGTTTTCTTCGCTAAGTTTTGTATTTTTCTTGTTGAGTTGAATGAAGAAGTATGGTCACACTGTACTTTTTCGTTCCATCTTGGATGAAATCCTTCGCATTTTCAGCTGTCGGAAAGGATTTGCTTTTTCAGGCAAATGCGTGAGTTTTTTAGGTTCTGAAATTCAAACTTCATTCAATGGATTTGTGATATTTCAAATCATGAGTTTCGGTGATGCTCAGGTGACTATTATTTCCATCCTTGTTCGCTTTTGTTCTTTTTACGGTGTTTGTTAGGCCCGGTTCGCAAAAGTACTACACCTTTCTAGTTTCATTGCAGCGTGTGTTAGCTTCCTAGTCAAGTTTCCATTCTTTCTGGCGATAACTTTTTTCTCTTGTTATTATTGTTACAAGGACGTGCAACCTCAGAAATTCCGCAGAATTCTGCTCGCTGATCTCCTCTTAGGCTGTCTTCTTATATAGGATTTGAGGTAAGCAAACACTGGGATTTTTTTAATGCTCTGGGAGAACGAAAGACCATGGGTTGTCTGATAATGAATCTCGCAAAAGCCGCTTAAGTTATCGTCACCCAATCAATATAGGTTAAGAATTTTATTTTTTTTTTGCACAAATGAAATGTGAAATGTGTGGAATATGAGCTCATTTTTCAAGAGTTATCAACTTAAATATCATAAATTTTTTTTATTTTGCATTTTGCAT